ATCAAAGTGATATAAGTTGAATTACAGACATATATCTGGGGTATCTAGGTATAGAAACTACAGGTTTTCCAAACGGGTTTGGATAGCTTTTGAAAAGACCTTTCAAACGGTATATATATGTTGGGGATTCATGATGATTTTGGGGTAGCTCTAGTGTATCCATATGAAGCTCTATTACCAAAAAACGTTGAAAATTCAACTTTTAACCCTCTTTATGGGGAAACTGGGTGTTGGACCTTGATGAAAATGTGCCAGAATGTGGGCCCGAGTATCCTCTATCAAATGGTATATGGCTTATATGCCGGTCAACACTGTGAAGGGTACCTGTAGTGTATCGATTTGAAGTCGAAATTGGGAGAAATGATGCAAGTCGAAGTTAGGGCCATCATTTTTCATTCCCAGTTCTTCCCAGTATGACCCACCCGAATTAGGTTCCAGCCCGAGTTCTACGCACGTTTCACATTAAGCCCCTACGGCCGGAGGCTGGCAGTGTATCTTTATAAAATCGATCATATAAACCTACCTCGTGGACGTTTGGAAAAAAATATTGACCAAAATTTACACTAATGTATTACACTACCTTTACTTGCATGCAAGTGTCATTCTTAGAATCGAATAAAGAAGTACGTTGGAAAAAAATGCTTTCTGCAACTTGCGAGGTGTATTCCCACCTTGAAGTCCGTGTATAGAACGTCCACTTGCGCACCTGAATTTATGCCTCTCTGGGCATAGTAGGAAAATTCGGTGAGATTAGATTTCATTGACAGCTGTCAAAGTGTAAACATTGTTTTTTTTCATTGCTCTGCAAAAATTAATAAATTTTGAGTTTTTTCCGGTTTTTGGAAACATTTTCAATTTTAGTTTGCAACGACATGAATGTTTGAATAAATAATTCATCAAAGAAACTGAAGTTCAGCAGAAACACCCAGGAATAATTTTGAAAAACTGATTTTATTTTTGCCGCTTGAAAAACTTGACCGCAAAATGTCAAATGAACCTCATTGCTGTGAATCCAAGAATTGTATGGGATCAAGGTATAACGGATGGTCATTGAATTGCATATTTTGCCACAAAAAAATATATGTTGAATGCCTGCGCAATCGAGATGCACAACGAACAAAGGGAATGTTGATTAAATTCGGATTGATTGAAAAAATCACAGAGGAAAATGGTACAATCAGCTGGAATATTCAGAATGACACGAACAAACTATCCGAATTCTATTCAACATTCAACGTCGATTCACCGTTTGGATTGACATGTGAGTTCTGCAAATTAAAATTCTCACAGCAACTTCCAACAGAGAATGAGAACAGAAATTCACACCAATCGGCCGAAACGAGCAAAAACCAACAAAAGAATATTGAAACACCACAAATATCACCTGTGAACGGTGTATATGCCATTCACGTATCACGAATGCCAAAAGAAACCACAACCGATGATGTTGCTGCTCTTATCATAGGTAATTTGGATGCCAATAATGATTCTTTTCTTGTTGAAAAATTACCCAACAAACGATACAAAGGAAATGCAAGAAGTTTTTCATCATTTAAAATTTCAACCTTGTTTCGTACGATTTGTGAAAAAATTATCACAATGGACGGATGGAATTCAAACTGCATTTTAAAACAATTCAATCATCCATCGAAAATGCAAAAACCAGTCTTACCAGTTGAAACCGATGCCATGAAAAAGAAGAGACAAAATCCGAAGCCACAACAAAATGTACAGCGACAAGTAAATTCTAATCGGAATCATCGCAACAACAACAACTATAACAACAGAAATATCTATGAGACACATCAAAACAATCACATCGATCGAAGGAGACTTGTCAATGGGAATGGGCGTCGTCGTCATGAATATCGTCCACAATACCGAGAGAGGCAGATACCGGTCAATAATTTCAGACACCATCAACAACAGCCGTTGCAGCAATTACCGATTAATCCGCAGTTTTTGCCAAACAGCAATTATTCTTTTTGGAATGGAACACCGTATCACATTATGCCACCTCAAATGTACACTCACAACACAATGCCAATACAAATGATCCAACCATTACACACACATCCAATGTACCAGCCCTTTTAAACATATCGAACATGCATCAACAGACTCGAAATCAAGGAATTCCATATTGCTTAGTGCATTCGCAAAATTGTAATGGCCTGAAAAGCAGATTGCCTCAATTCAATGCTGATGTACTAACAAATAACGCAAAAATTTACATGATATGTGAGGATAAACTCGACGATTCGGTCAATTCTTCGGAGGTATTTCCCCAAATTTCAACGTTTACCGTTGTGATCGTTCCGAGGAAACTGAATTGTGGCAAAAGATTAAAAAGAAACGAGGCGGCGGTGTTCTGATTGCCATCGAAAAATCAATCAAATCTCAACTCGTCGGCACAGGAGCATCATTCGGCGCTGAACAAATATGGGCCAAGATAATATTGAACAACAGAAATATTTTCTTAGTCGAGGCCTACCTCAGACCGGATTCTCCAGTTGAAGTCTACGAAGCAAATATGGGAGCACTACGGGAAATCACTGCAAAAATGCAAACTGAAGATGTTCTCATCCTTTCAGGTGACTTCAATTTACCTAATTTATCCTGGTTCACTGATGACAACGATGATCCAGAAATTGCGATTCCAATTAATGCATCAGGAAAGAAAGAATTGATCATTCTCGATACATGTCATGAATTGGGATTGCATCAAATCAACAAGCACAGCAATGATAATGGAAATATGCTCGACTTAATTTGGACAAACTGTGTAGACATCGTTTCATGTCAGCCTGCCGAACATCATTTATTGAATCATGAATCACATCACATTTCTTATTCGATAAAAATCCACGGCTTGGAAATGAAGCAAAACAAAGTCACATCTCAAATTGAGTACCGCAATTTCATGGGCGCTGATTATGATACCATTAATGAGAAACTATTCACTGTAAATTGGGATGATGTTCTCACTGGAACAAACTTGGATACAGATATTAACCAGTTCTATAATATCATCAATTCCGTTGTTTCAGAGAATGTCGAGCTGAAAACGAAAACGATTTCAAACCATCCAAAATGGTTCACCAGCGAACTCATAAACATAAAGAATCGTGTCAACACACTGCAAAGACGGAAAAAGTCATGTTCTTCAACTGAAGCAATTGTGAAGCATGCTGATTTGAGAAGACAATATAAGTCATGCGCTCGATTAGCCTTCAAGAATTACAAGTTGGAAATGGAGCAGCTAATTGATAAAGATCCAACGAAATTTTTCGAATATGTCAATTGCGTCCGAAAAACTCATGATGATTTACCCGGTGAAATGGAATATAATGGCGTTAAGTTGAACTGTCAACAAGATATTGCCGATACATTTGCCAAACATTTTGAAAAAGCGTACACCAAACAAAATGATGTTCAAACTGACAGTTACAAGGACTGTGAATCGCTTCTCCGTGATTTATGCATCAATATTCCAACGATTGAAATCACTGACGACATAATTTTGGAGACAGTAAACAACCTTCCAAATAACACAGTATCTGGGCCAGACGGAATACCGAACATTTTCATCAAAAATTGTATTCACACGTTGGTAAAGCCGATTACTCACATATTGAGTGAATCATTAAAGACCGGCTTTGTACCAGACATTTGGAAGCGATCTTACGTATGGCCAATACACAAAAGTGGAATCAAAGCAAAAATTGATAACTATCGTGGTGTTGCTTTGCAGTGTGTAATTTCGAAGATTTTGGATTCCATCGTTTCAAGTCATCTTAACTTCCACATTAAAAGTATACTTGATGATAGCCAGCATGGATTTGTGAAAGGAAAGTCTACAATAACAAATTTGGCCGAATTTACATCGTGTGTAATAACGAAGATGGACAAACACATTCAAACGGATGCAATTTATCTTGACTTAGCAAAAGCGTTTGATTCTGTCAATGTTACGCTGCTTATCCAGAAGCTAAACATCATGGGCTTGAACGAACAATTGCTTAAATGGATTGAATCATACCTGAATGGACGGCAGCAGATTGTCAAACTAAATGATGTCATGTCAAATTCCATCAACGTTACTTCGGGAACTGGTCAGGGCTACCCAATTGGCGCAACACTGTTCATTTTATTTATTATTGACTTGCCACATCACACACTCGAATCAATATTACAGTCGTTTGCCGATGACACTAGACTATGGAAACACATTGAAAATTTTGAAGACTGCCAAGAACTGCAAAACGATCTCAACAAAATTGTAAAATATTTCCGGGACAATCGACTAAAATTGAACATCAAGAAATCAAATTGCATATCATATCACCGTGGACAGTTGCAGTATGAATTTGAATATACGATAGACAATGAGAAGATTAACCGTGTCAAAGTAATTAAGGACCTCGGCATTATACTGGATGAGAAAATGAACTTCAATGCACATATTGAGTTCATTACTGCCAAAGCAAAATCAAGATTGGCTTGGATAAAGCATTTTGGAAGAGAGTTTGAGGATCCATGGACTATTAAGAAACTCTTCTTCACCTTTGTACTGCCAATTATAGAATATGGCTCCCAGATTTGGAACCCATACACTGCCGACAAGATTGCTAGACTTGAATCCATACAAAAGCAATTTTTACTATTTGCACTGCGCAGAATGAGATGGTCAAACGGATTCAAATTACCATCATATGAATTTCGATTGCTGCATTTACAAATGATTACCCTTGATGAACGAAGAAAGATTGCTCAAATATCGATGGTGCATAATGTACTATGTGGACATACATCGTCGAAATACATAACCAGCCAAATAAGAATCAGAACACCACGGCATCGGACAAGAGATATAGATTTCTTATCACTACCAATAAGACACCATAATTATTCCAAATTTGAGCCCATAAATAACATGCTTATTACATATAACGATTTTTATAAGAAATTTGTTCCTATTAAACCGCCATATGCAACTGATGGATGTGACACTAATGTTATTCCAATTTGTGATACTTATCTAATTGATTTCAATGTTAGTACTGATACTGTTAAACAGAGGGTAACTGAATTTTTTAAAAGAAGTAGAGTGTGGAGAAAATAAAAGAAATATTGTAAATATATTGATATGATATTTATAACAAATAAACCACCTTTGGCGAAGAAACGCTGTATGGTGCAGAATAATAATAATAATAAATTGAACTTTACTGCACACATTGAATACATTACAGCAAAATCAAAATCAAGATTAGCATGGATAAAACGATTTGGTAGAGAGTTTGAGGATCCATGGACCATAAAGAGACTATTTAACACATTTGTCCTTCCGATTGTCGAATATGCATCTCAAGTATGGAACCCTTACACTGCTGAAAAGATTGCCCGAGTTGAATCTATCCAGAAACAATTTTTGTTGTTTGCACTTCGTAAAATGAAATGGCCACACAGATTTAGAAAACCACCATATGAATGCCGACTGCTTGAATTACAAATGATAACGCTCGAAGAACGGAGAAAAGTAGCCCAAATATCACTCGTTCATAATGTGATGTGTGGACATACATCATCGAAACACAGAGCAAAATAAATATTAGAACATCACGACATGGGACAAGAAACTCAGACTTCCTATCATTACCAATGCGCCATCGTGATTACTCAAAATTCGAGCCTATAAATTATATGCTGATGACATACAATGAATTTTATAAATATTTAGTTCCTATCAAACCGCCTAATCTACCTAATGAATGCAATGTTCGACGCAGCGCCTTCTCTGCACTAACGCCAACTGCTGTTAGCAAGAGTCACTATAGTACAACGTACGTCAAATTCAAAAGCTTGTATGCATGTGTCAGTTGTTTATTGAGCGATTTTCTGTTCTCCAGCTCTATTTTTTTTTCACTAAATAGCGTAAATATTTGTTGCATAAAAATCAATCTTCTTATTTTTAAACGTAAAATCAAATTTTTCCTCTCGTGTTTTTGTCGATACAAGAGTACCCAGAAGGAATTTCACTGTTTTGAATAAATACGAACAAGTGTCACTTCATTTGTTTACGTTCTGTTCACGAGAATCATGTTATGTTTTTTTAATCAAAAAGCGTATTTAACTGTTCATTCGAATGCAAAAAATCAATTTTCTCATTTTAAATTTTCAAATAAAAATGTTTCCGTATTTTTGCGTATTTTTGCGGATCCGGAAATAGCCTTTTGTTACTCTTGTATTGACAAAAACACGAGAAAAAAATTGACTTTCCCGGACTACGTTTTAAAATCAGAATGTTGATTTTTCTGCATCGGATTAAAAAAATATTGACGTTTTTCAATAGAAAAAAAAATTAAATTGAGCTGGACAACTGAAAATCGCTCGACGAGCAACTTAAACATACAAGCTTTTGAATTTGACGTAAGTTGTAATGTAGTTACTCTTGCTAACAGCAGTTGTCGTTTCTGGGCTCGTTTGTATGGGAATTGACAACAAGGCGCTGCGTCGGCAATGTTACTACAATTCCAACTTGTGATGCTTATTTGATTGATTTTAACACAAATACAAATACTGTCAAACATAGAGTTACCGAATATTTTAGAAGAACCAGAATTTGGAGAGAGTGAAATGAAATATTCAAATTATCTGGTACAGGACAAAATCACCAAAAAGCAACATGGCTTTATGAAGTCCAGATCTACTGCATCTAATCTCAACCACACTTTGTTTGAGAAATAGCGGGTGGTTTCAAACTTTTGCATGAATAGTGTATGCATTAGCAAACGCTGGAGAACGAGCATGTGTGTACTCTGGACAGTGGACACTTCAAATGCTCAAAACAATCGAAAAAAGTCCTTTTTTATGTATAACCCTCTACATTTTCCAGCGTTTTGGAGTTTATTACATGCGTTGAGGTTTCTTACGTAATAAACGTAAGATACATGTTTCTTACGTAAATTACTTACACGTCGCTCAAAATCCGAAAATTTACCAACCCAGATGTTGACCGAGTCAAAGGCCTTCGCAATATCCAAGTAAATTGCATCGGTTTGTATTTGGTTTTCATTCCTAAAATTGCACACGATGTAAATTCAGCCAAATTTGTAGTTGTAGATTTTCCCTTGACAAATCCATGTTGACTGTTATCATTAATATTCTCCATGTGATAATTAAGGTGTTTGGCAACGATGGAATCAAGCAACTTCGGTATTACACACTGCAGGGCTAC